CGAATGCGTGGTGGTGTACCTGGACGACATACTCATCTACTCACGCGACATGAAACAGCACGTCGAACACCTACGACGCGTCTTCGAAACTCTTCGACGAGAACGATTCTACGTCAAACTGTCCAAGAGCGAATTCGCCCTGGAGAAGGTCCAATTTCTAGGACACATGGTGAGCGCTCAAGGAGTTCACGTCGACCCCAAGAAAATCGAAGCCATACGTACGTGGAAGACACCCGAGAACGTGAAGGAGTTGCAGCAGTTCCCAGGCTTCGCTAATTATTACAACAGGCTCGTGCCACAGTAAGCGAAACTCGCAGTGCCACTCACGAATCTGCTGAAGAAGAACACACCCTACAAATGGGAATCAAAGCACCAGGAAGCCGTGGAGTAGCTGAAACAAGCACTCACGTCCGCACCGGTACTCATCTTGCCAGACCCCGAACGCGACTACGTCATTGAAGCAGACGCCAGTGATCAGGCCGTGGGTGCAGTCTTGATGCAAGACCAAGGGAATGGACTGCAACCAATTGCCTACCTCAGCAAGAAACTGCACGGGGCAGAACTAAACTACCCGATACACGACAAAGAGGCCCTGGCTATCATCATCGCCTTCAAAGCGTGGAGATGCTATCTCGAAGGACGAAGAACAACCGTCTACACCGACCACTGCAGCCTGAAATACTTGAAGACACAACCCAACCTTTCCAGGCGGCAGGTCCGGTGGATTGACTTCCTCGAGACACACTTCCACTACGACATCGTGTACAAGCCCGGCCACAAGAACAAAGCAGACGCTCTCAGCCGGCCTGCACACGTTGCCGCGATTCAGGTCGAAGGGATGAATCCACTACTCAAGGGACTCTTCACCCACGGGTACGCCATCGACCCCGAAATTCCCTTGGCAGAAAAGCGACATCTGCTACAGTGGGACAGTGACATCGCGTACCGGAAAGGATCAACGAAAATCTGGGTACCCAATTACCCTCCTTTGCGCCAGTTACTACTCGAAGAATACCACGACGTCCTCTACGCCGGACACTTCGGTAGCAACAAGACGCTGACCGGTATCGCAAAGCACTACTACTGGCCCCACTTAGCAGAAGATGTCCAGAAATTCGTCACCTCGTCTGATACATGTCAGCGGATGAAGAGCAGCAAGCAGAAAAAGGCGGGACTACTGCAGCCTCTTCCTGTCCCAGAACAGCCATGGCAAGTGGTCAGCCTCGACTTCATCACCGGGTTACCACCTACCACCAACTGTCATGACGCCATCCTTGTCGTCATTGACAAGTTCTTTAAAATGGGACACTTCATCCCGACACGCACGACGGCACGCACCGAGGAGACAGCACAGCTCTTCGTTCGTCACATCATCTCACAGCATGGCATCCCAACCACACTCATTTCCGACCGCGACCCCAAGTTCACCAGCAAGTTCTGGAAGGAACTCATGTCTCTACTCGGCACCAAACTCGCCATGTCATCCGCATACCATCCGCAGACAGACGGACAGACCGAGCGCCTCAACCAAATTGTTGAGCAACTCCTCCGAGCAGCCTGCAAGGACGACATCTCCAAATGGGACTTGCACCTGCCCGTACTCGAGTTTGCTTACAACAATGCTACACATGCCGCTACTGGACAGACGCCATTCTTCCTCTGCTACGGACGCCACCCACTCACACCACAGAAACCGACAGCATCAGCTACAGTCCAACCAGCACATGATTTCATCACAACCATGCATCAACTTTGGGATCGGACCCATAAGCGCCTCCTTGACATTCAACAGCAACAGAAGCGCCAAGCCGATCGCCATCGCAACGACCACACCATCACGGTGGGAGACCAGGTGCTTCTTGACACCCGCAACCTAGACATCAGCCACCTCCCATCTAAACTTCGACCTCGCTTCTGCGGGCTTTTTCTCGTTGAAGCACAGGTCACCCCTGTTACCTTCCGCTTACGCCTGCCAGCTACCTGGAAGATTCACAACGCCTTCCACGTCCAACTTCTGAAGCCCTATCGGGACCCGAACACCATTTTCGTCGGACGCCAACCGCCGCCGCCACCGCCCGTTCTCGTCCAGAATGAACCCGAGTACGAGGTCGAGTCCGTGCTCGCACACCGCCGTCGTCGGAATGGCGCCGTGGAGCTTCTCATCCGTTGGAAGGGTTATGATCCTTCTGAGGACAGCTGGGTACCTGAGTCCGACATGGGTAACGCCCGTCATCCTCTGCATGCCTACCTTGTCAAGCAGGGTGTTACTTCTACCACCCATCTTTGAGGGGGGGAAGTGTGAGAGTACGACCCCGTTACACCACTTGGCCTTTTCTTATTTCCTTCCCTTTTCATTTCTCTTCTTATCTCATCTCATTTGGTTTCCTATTCTTCTTCTTCCATTAACCTTTGGTTTATCCTGCTATTATAATTATATCACCGACCACGCTTGGGATGTACTGGTGCGCTATATCTAGCGTAATCCTGCCGTAATCCCTTAAAGCCAATAGCCTCGCGTGGCTATACGCAGGGTGATTCTATCTTCTAGAAGGGTCTATTCCCTTAGGATAAGATAAACCTGGTTACCTGATGTACTCTGGAAGTATAAAAGCGCCTTGTACTGATCGATAGTGCAACCTTTCCTCGACACATTCGATCCTGTGACACCGGCACTGGGAAGCATCGTCTCGCCTACGGGAAGCAGGCTGCTCTGATGCAGGAGGCAACGACGCAGACGAGGATCGACCAGAATCCCCGTGCCACTGATCTTGAGAAGGAACGGTTGGCGGCGCTTCTCGATTCTCTCTACCTCTGCTGCAGGACGAACGAACCGATGGAGACATGGATCACATTTGCACGCTACCTCGCCTCTCGGTTCTACAAAAACGTCCCCGAGGAAGGTTACGGCACCTACCTGAACTCGTGAGTCGTCAAATTGAATGACTGGTCCGTGGTGTTTTTTAATGCGTCTACTCTAACTCCATTTTTTGCCATTTGTAGGTACGACTTCGGAGAATTCACGCAGGCCACGACTACATGGCTTCAGACAACTCAACTGGAGCATCTTCTGCGGAGCCCGTTCATCGGGCTCAGCCTGGACGAGAGCACTGATAGGTGTCGGGAGAAGCACATGATCGTGTTCGCGACCTTCCTTCGTGAGCGTCGGGTGGTCACGGAGTACCTGGCTCACCTTACAGTCGACAAGGCGGACGCTGCCTCCCTTCTGGCGTTGCTACTCTCCCACCTCCAGGCCATCGGAGTGGATCTTTGTCGGATCTCTGGCATCAGCACTGACGGGGCAGCAGTGATGATGGGCGCGAAGTCTGGACTTGTTACTCGTCTCCGACTGCGCATTCGTCACCTCGTCTCCTGCCACTGCATAGCGCATCGGTAACCGTGTGATTTTTTGCATTCGTATTTCGGCCTGGCGAGTAGCCATGTATGTGTTGCCTTGTCTAACTCTCTTTAACTGTTCATGTTCTGTGCACGTCCTTGCGCAGTGAGGCTCTGGCCGCCAAAACCGCGGCCGATGACCTCCCCGCCTTCATGATGATCAACGCTTTCTCGAGCTTCAGGATGTCTTCCTCTCGACGGCGCTTGAGCTGCAGGGTATTCACCACGTTCGGTTGCTTTCCCGCGGGGATGCCATCCAACGGTTGGTGAAGGTTTTGCCGGCAATCATCGTGATGCTGTCTGAGTTCCCAGACGATAGGCTGTATACCATTGTTACCAGCTATCGTTTCTGGTTTCTCTTGATGTTTTTGGCGGATGTGCTTGAGTAGATGAACACGCTCAACAAGATCTTCCAGACGCGTCAGGTAAACTTACTGTGTGTCTTTGCTAAACTGCTGGACTGACATCTTTCCGTGCCTTACCTGTGTGCACCACCCCCTCCTTGCAGCTGGACATCTCCACCGTCCACTCATCCATCGCTCGCGTGAAGTCCCTGCTCCTAAGCCGCTACGTCGACTGCGGCGACGACTTCAACGGGGCGCCGAAAGACCGGCTCACGGAGTTCCTTACCCTTCACGGCCCTTCCGGTTCGCGGCGCGTCACCGTTGAGGGCATTGACTCAGACGGTCGCCCGCGGCGGTTCAGCTTCATCCTGCACATGAAGGACATCAGCTATCCAGGTGAGGGGAAGCACGATGACTGCATCACGCTGTGCATGGCAATGGCGGAGGGCATGGCCAACAATTTGGAGGAGCGGCTGGGTGACCTGAAGCAGTTGAGTGGCGTCATGCTGTTTTGTGCTGACCAGTGGCCGTTGCAATGGGCACGTGCGGCCAGGATCAAGCAGTGCATCGAGTGGTTCCATTCCCTTGTCCTTCTGTACCACGCGGAGGGAGCTGAAGAGGTCTTACCAGGTAAGGTTTTAGCTCAATCCAAGTGGTCTCAAGCACCGAAGTCTCAACATGATTGCTTTACTTCCCCTTACCTCGTTGACAGGCATTGACACGCAAGCGGCCGTGAAGGCGATTCCCCACTTCACCCCCGTCATTGCAGCGCTGCCGCAGGGCGAGAAGGGATTCTTCACAGGGCTGACGACCATTCTGAAGACACCGGACTGGGAGCACAGCTACCCCAACCTTGTAAAGTTGTGGTGTGCAACGGCGGTTCTTCCTTTGAGTACAGTGGAGTGTGAGCGCGGGTTCTCCCGCCAGAACGTCATAAAAAGCTGGCTGCGTGGCACCTTGAAGGACTCTCGCCTAGGAGACTTAATGTGCATGAGTTTGTTAGATTACGAGCCGGACTGGGACGCCGTGATAGAGATCTGGAGAGCTTACAAGAAGAGAAAGCCGTGTAGCTGCGCCCCACAGAGCAGGGCCCAGAAGAGTTGCAAGGGAAAGGAACTAGTTGAAGACGTGCCTAGAGAAAACTATGATAGTAGAGCGGAGGAGGATGAGGAGGAGGATGCTTAAGTAGATGATGTATATTTTATGCTTGTTTCTAAAAATTGCTAGTGTTCATGTTCAGCGCCATTCTAGCATGCAACCCTGTTAACTCAGGATTTTTTTTTAAGACACCCCTGTCAGCTCAGCGGAAAAATTTTATGTAGTCCTGTCAAATCAGGGAACAAGGTGGGGGGGAACCCTGTGCAATCAGGGTACCTTAAAACCAATCTGAGGCCCTGCTTCGGGGATTACAGTGGCTGGTATTTTTTTGTTCATCAAAAATCTCACATTGTACCACAATCAATCTGCTTTGCGTTTTCAATGCTAGGGGGGGCTTCGCATGCTTGCTTGCTCTTTTTGGCCACCACTCTGATCTGACGATACTGCTGCTGAGATTATTGCACTGCCTCCTGGATGTCTTCCACCAAAGTATCCTCCACCTCTCACAACAGCGTCTGCGCTTGCTGCCACTGCTGCTGCCCTTGTTGCAGCAGCTGCGTGC